ACTTTTGATCATGGCTTATTTGCAAGAACAATCTCTTTTTTGTAATTACTAACTTCCCAGTACTGTCTTACCTTTTTTGGTTGTATTGTTTATATAAGCTCTATGTAAGCTCGAACATTTCAAGCTTGGTGTAAGCTCCATACCATGTATACTCTGCCGTTGATCCTCTTCTTGAACTTATTTAGCCTAAGTTCTCATACTCTTTTTTCTCACCATTGTAATAGGTGATGGTTATGGTCCTCCCCCATTCTTGGTGGAGATATAGTGTTTGATCCCTTAGGCTACTGATTCCAAGGACATGATAGGCTCTTTTGGTATTTAATGATACATGAACAGACATCTCACCCTGTTTCTTTTTGTCAAAAAAACAATTAATACAATAATACTATAGAAGAGGATATCTAATGTGAGTTGTCAACTCATTTAGCAAATAAGCTAGAAATATGTTGAGCAGTATGTGCTTTTATTCTACACTAGAGTGAACATATCACTATCAGTTTATTTCTTAATATTCCATTTAGCAAAATAAGCTGTCAAGTCATATCCTTATTGTAGACGTCGAAAAATGCTTACAGACATCCAAATACCACTCAAAGCAAAGAAAAGACGATAAACGCTGCTCTCTTAATCAGAAGGGAATGATTCAAAGGAAGCGAAACAACATGGAAGAACATGTACACACCAACAAACAGCGTTTGGTGTCGCGGCTCCAGCGCGGCAGTTCATGGCGCCGCGGCCATGGCGCGACAGCCCATGGTGCCGCGGCTATGGCGCGGCAGCCTATGGTGCCGCGGCTATGGCGCGACAACCTATAGTGCCGCGGCTATTATAGGAGAGTGCTGTGGCGGTTACAAGACAGTTGTACGATGATTATTTGAAGCCCACGTGGCGGCATATCAGAGATAGAACGTGTGCTGACGTGGACAAGCAGTTAAACCACGAAAAAGGTGGTTAAAGGTCGTGGGAGAACGGTTTCAAGCACGATGGAACGTGCTGGTAACCACCCCTTTGGCCGCGGCAGTCCACACTGCCGCGCCAATAGCCGCGGCAGTCCGCGCCCTTTAGCCGCGACAGCATCAGCTGCCGCGCCTAAAGAGACAGTTATTGACCAGCTATTTCTTCAGTTATCGTCTAAGGAGGCTATAAATACCCTCCTATGGCCATCATTGACAGGGGCTGAGCATTTTCCAGGGAGATTAGAGCAGAGAGCCTTGAGTTTTGGTGAATTAGAGCAAGAGAGAGAGTCTTCCTTCTTCACAAACATCCTCAAGAAGCTTCTGGCGATTCCTAGAGATCTAAGCTCTGACTTGATCTTTAGAAGAGTGAATATCTTACATCGATAAGATATTCGCTTCAAATTCTTACTTCGATAAACGAAGGAAGAATCATTAAACCCCTCACGGTTCAATCAGAATCTGTGATTTGGTGGTCCACGAGTCAAAGCGCTCCCGGCACAGGCAAAGATCCCACGCAAGCAGCGATCCAAACAACGATCCTGCGTTTGTTTCTAAAAAGTTGTAATTTTCCTTTTGTTGTGTAAAAGAAGTCTTATAAAAAGACTATCTCTTTTGAATTTATTGTAATCGACCGAAGATATAATGAATTCCATAACAAAACCAACTTTTGACGCAAACAAGCTGGCGACCACAGTGGGAGCCAACGGTCTCGCTGCCGAGACCGTCGTGTCGCAGCCGATCAAGATTCCAGTTGAATCCACGGTCGAATACGAATTCGACCAAACCAAGTTTGAGGAATATCTCTCATCATCCTCTTCAAGATCTTCATTATCTCGCAAGTACAAGAGGATCTCACAATTGAGGAAGAGTTGCATGCCAAAGAAGGCACAAAATGAAGACTCTCGCCTGATTGTTGCTGAGGATTCTACTCACAACCTCTCTGCTCATAATGGCTCTTCGCCAAGTAAAGAGTCATTAAATCAAAGCCCACCGGCATTGACGAAAAGAGCTCGTCAGAGACAACGCCAACGCCGCGCTCGCCAAATGGCTAAAGCCTTAGAACAAACCGACGGGGTTCGTTATTGCGCGGACCTAGAGTCGAGGAAGCATCGAGTGGTTTAGTTGTCTCTACAACCAATCACACATATCTCTGCTAAATTGACAACGGATGAATGGACTCTTGTCAAAAGGGCTCGCTCAACCCTCAAAGAACGTACACAAAAACGTTATGTAAACACTGCTCATGACCGTGCTCTCTCACAACAAAGACAAGAATGGAAGAAAGAAACGGTGGCTAAAGAACCATCAAAACTCTGCAAAGTTTGGATTCCAAAGTCTAGAGTTGTGCAAAATCAGCATTCGGAGCCCGTTAAGACTCCATACCCACAAGGGGGTGGTTCTAAACGTGCGACTCCCGACATAACCTTGGATCGCTCAAAGACAAAAATAAATTGTCCTGAGAACGCCAATAAGGTTTTACACCCCCAGAAGAAGACGCATTCACCAAATGATATCGTCATACCTGGGAGATCATACCAACAGACGATACGATTTTTTGGCAATCATACCAATGAATCGTATTATCAAATTGAGGTTGTGAATAATTTTCGAAAGAGAGTTATTCGAGAGCGCGGCTAAGGCGCGGTAGCCTATGGTGCCGCGGCTATAGCGCGGCAACCTATGGTGCCGCGGCTATTATAGGGGAGTGCTGCGGCGGTTACAAGACAGTTGTACGATGATTATTTAAAGCCCACGTGGCAGCATACTAGAGATAGAACGTGTGCTGACGTGACAAGTAGTTAAACCACGAAAAAAGGTGGTTAAAGGTCGTGGGAGAACGGTTTCAAGCACGATGGAACGTGCTGGTAACCACCCCTTTGGCCGCGGCAGTCCACCCTGCCGCGGCAGCCTGTACTGCCGCGCCAATAGCCGCGGCAGTGTAGACTGCAGCGGCCAAAGATAGTTCGTCTGATCGGTTATTTCGCTTCCATCTCAACTGTTGTGCATTGCTACCCCTATAAATACCTCCCTAGACACGAAATAAAGGAGGAGGGGCAGATTAGAGCAGAAAAGGCTTAAGCTTTTGGTGAATTAGAGCAAAAGAGAGAGTCTTCCTTCTTCACAAACATCTTCAAGAAGCTTTTGGCGATTCCTAGAGATCTAAGCTCTGACTTGATCTTTAGAAGAGTGAACATCTTACATCGATAAGATATTCGCTTCAAATTCTTACTTCGATAAACGAAGGAAGAATCATTAAACCCCTCACGGTTCAATCAGAATCTGTGATTTGGTGGTCCGCGAGTCAAAGCGCTCCCGGCACAGGCAAAGATCCCACGCAAGCAGCGATCCAAACAACGATCCTGCGTTTGTTTCTAAAAAGTTGTAATTTTCCTTTTGTTGTGTAAAAGAAGTCTTATAAAAAGACTATCTCTTTTGAATTTATTGTAATCGACCGAAGATATAATGAATTCCATAACAAAACCAACTTTTGACGCAAACACTTATGTCCTAAGTAGGATTACTTTCCTCCTAGTAGTAAAGAGTGTATAGATTTTTGTTAACTTTTTTTTTTCAACTTTAGGGAGTGGTTTTGTTCTTAATATAAGAGTAAATCATTTGCCGTAGACAGGACAAGTTAGTTCTAGTTCTGTTCTCTCTTTCTATGAAAACATGTCAATTATTCTCAAATTGTTAAGTCACACCCTAGCAGTTACCAATTAACTTCAGTTTGGACATATAGAATGAGATATATAGTTGCGGCACATTTGGAATTCACAAAATAGCAGTTGTAATGTTACAAAAGAGAGATCAAAGCGTGTTGCCATGAAATTGCTTTGGTTCCTCTTTCTGGATTTAATTATTGCTTTGCTTGTCGTTAGCAACGACTGTTATATTTCTAAACTACTAATTTAAGGCCTTTCTCCTCCTTTTGCTTTAAGCATAAAAAAATCAAGCGAACGAAGTAAGCAAGCATTCATGACAAATTACAACAAACAGAGAAATTAAGAAGAGGAACAAGCATCACGTGTAGGGGGAGAATGGCTACATTTTTATTTTTATTTTTTGGGATTTATTACACCACCGTAGCCTGTGGGATGATGTAACTATAAGGGTGATTCTGCACTTGTTGATTCTAATTACATAAGTGACCCTAAGATTTATGGGCAAATTAACACTATTTATGTATTGCTATGTTGAATATCGATTACCATGATAATAAGGGTTAGCATTTTGGTTAGGATGGAGTAGGATTGGGATTAGTGCGATTAACAATCTTAGAATTATAAGTGTAGAGAAGGTCATTTTATATAATTACATCGTACTTTAGGATGTTTGAATATGGTAAATATTTAACAAACATATTAAACAGCAAAAAAGTTGGAATATGAGTTTATTTTTATATATCTCCCAAGCATTACTAAAAATTGTCTGCATATTTACTGGGACACTGAAGTGTTGGTGATTACGTAAAATTTCAAGCGACAAATTTGAAAAGGGAGGCGTTACAGGCACATTCTCGGGCACACATCCGGCCACATCTCCTTCTAGATAAAGTGCAGAGAGCCCCACTTGAGATTTTTTTAAAAAATCTCAAGTGGGGCCCTCTGCACTTTAACTTGAAGGATGTGTGGCCCGAGGTGTGCGTCTATCATTTCTTCTTTGAAAAATCTTTTCTTTTTTTCCCCTCCTCAAAATTCAAAACATAAAATAAATAAATAAATAAATTAGTTAGGACGGCGTCGTTTGTCCGGCCTGTAGGGCCGCCATTCAAAGCAGCAGCTGTGGGCCTCACTAATTCCAAGAGAACTCCGGACTCCCGTTCTTTTCAAAATATTTATTTATTTAACAAATGTATTAAACATCAAAACCTTTATTTAACCGTTTTACATCCTACCATTTTTACCACAGCGTTTGCGCGTCTAGTTTTTTTTTCCTTTTTTCCCCTCTTGTTAAATTTAATTTAATTAATTAATTAATTAACCTCGCACCTATTTTTTGTGCTATAAATAAGGGGCTCGGGGTTCCAAGGTAAGGCTTGAAGCGGCCGCTAGAGCGAAAGAGAGATCCGCGCATCTCTTAACAAAATCTAGCGACTTCTTCTTCTGCTTCTTCCCCCGCCCTTTTGTTTCACCAAAAACAGCAAAAAAAATGGTTGAGACCCCCTCATCATCTTCTTCCTCCTCCTCTTCCTGCGCTTCCTTTAGCTCTTTCGACGACGTCTCCGTCAAGTCGAACGGCGCCGTCAAGTTCCTCTGCAGCTA